TTTCACTTCAATCTTTATGCTGACTGATGAGGAAGTCAGACCTTCGGATACATGATCATTGCTCAGGATTGCGGATTATTTTAGAAGCTTCGGAGGCATTAGAAAGAGACACTAGAACTGCTGGTACTAAAACGCATGCAAAATAATGCTTAGAGTATTTCAGACACGCAAACGTTTCAACGACGTATCGAGGAAAAAGCGGCGTGGGACGAAATTCGCGCTACGTGGGCTAGCCATGGTACCGCATTACAGTAGCTGCGCACATACCGCTCCATATTCTGTCTAATATTTTGTAGTGACCATCATTTTCTAGTGTCTTCAGCGGGAATAAAATGTTTCAGTGTTCTTATGGTTTGTCCCATTAGACCAGATGTCCAGAAAACTGGCCACGTTTTTAGAAAGACAATATCTGCATAGATAACTAGCGGCAAGATGGTGCAGTGACATCGCTAGCCTTACCTAACTTACATGAACATCGAGCTGCTTACCAGATAGAGGCATGCGGTCAAAAGCTGACGCAGTGGTCCTTATGTAAATTCTTACGCTAGTAGCCTTACCTAATTTATTTGAACAAGTCTTGCGTAATTTGCAGGTACGGCTCGTTTATGTAAAGGACTCAAATAAGGCACGTTAACGTAATTTGCTTAAAACCCCATCACTTGCATAAGGTAAGGCCCGAGAAAAAGTGATCAGTTGCGCGGCCTTCGCAAATGCGGCAAATGAACATTTTTATGCGTTTTTGTGGCTGTGGCAGCGCTATAGCGCTATAACGCTGCTGCAACCAGCAAAACGCATATTGTCGAGAGACTGTCTGTGTGTGTGTTCAGAAGCGAGTGTTGTCACCTACTTTCATCTCAGAACCAAGAAAGCTGGGAGGCTGAAACTTTGGATATATGTTCCTGCCCCGTGAGTCATCCATCCGTTTTAAGATCTTTCCCCATACGCGCCTAGACCCCGCGTACGGGACCCCCAAAGAAATATGTTGGCGGGAAACAATTTTGTGAACCAGGCAACGTAGAAAGCTGAAACTTTGCAGTGATATTCCCTACGTACGTGCGAGCTAAAGATTTTAAACTCAGCTGTCGAGCACCCCAACCACAGCCTCAAGCAGCTTCTCAACTCAAAAATCGTCCGCGACTCGGACTTGAACTGCAATCGCATATGTAAATGAACATGGGTTTTTTACAAACGACCGTTCGAGCAACACTTCTAATTTTCCATGAACTGGAAATTTGCATTTTTTCAAAAAATTTGCATTTGCCATTTTTTCACAAAGTGAGTATTTACCGAAAAAACGACCTGACTTCATGCAAAAAACCGGTAGTCATGCACCTGGATGTCAGTGCGACTCTAGAATGCACCACCTTCATCCCAACTGACGCCTTTCCTCCTGCATGCGGGAAAGGATCAAATCACTCCAATATAACCCAAGTGTTAGGCTACAGTATAGGGATCATTTCTCCCAATAGGGATCTGCGAGTTTAGTGAAAAACGCATGAACGCACCGGAGAGCCTAGTGCGTTTTAACGTGGGTTTGGTTTTTGGCTAATAGCTAGACATATACAGTTCAGGACAATTTTAGTTCAGTCACTTCTAGTGCTTTTTCTAGGGAATAAGTAGCAGATTTAAAGTATCTCCTTCACACACGCGGAAGGACAGCAATGACACATTGAAAAATATTACAAGAGATATTTTAGAACAGAAGCATACGCATAAAGAGAAATTTTTTGAGCGAAAACAATGGCAGGAGGAGTAGAAGTTTCCGTCTCTTGATAGATTTTTGGGTGGATGCTTACTGTGCATGTGTGGGGGGTTCTAAGTGTAAAATGAGCATTTGCTTACGCATGTGATGCGCCTGCGAAAATGTCAAATACTCATATCGTTATTAAGAAAATATGTCCTAACAGTTGGATTCTGATTCTGTGCGATTACAACCTGGGCAAATCAAAAGGAGCAAAAGCGTGAGAAGCACTCTCTTCGTTCAAGAAAAATAATATTACTTTTTTCCGGACAAAACACTCTCCTGGTTTCAGCAGTTCTATTCATTTTTGTTCATTGTATGCTTAGCAGGCATAACACTTTTTTTCACGTCAATTCATATAGCAATTAAGGGAGAGTGAGGTAAGGTAATCCGATATCATCCAAGCTGATCATCCGGTACGTGTTTTATTTTGAAACTTTGCCCTATGTTTAGCCGGAAAGCAATTTTTTTTGAAGTGATAACGTTCGGACTGAAGTCCACTCACTACACCCATGACATCCTGAAACGCCTAAAGCCTTACCAAAAAGTTCTTGTCAAATGAACCGTAGAGCTGATACCTTCAAGAAAGATGTAGATGTCAGGATCGCCAAGAGGCTGATTACTCGAAATGATGCAGCACTGATCAGAGCAAGTTGCCAGCCAACTTGTCTATATCCTTATGTCATGAGTAATATACACGCATTTTTTTTTCAAACCTGATTGATTTCCAATCAGTTATCAGTAAAAAAATTAACCCTTACTCCCGCCCATATTCATTAGCACTTCGACCAAACTCCAGTTGACTGCAGAGACACGTGTACATTCCGTGGACTGCAATGGTAGGGCTGAATCAACAGGATTAATCCGCTTCTGGGCTTATCAAGTATGGCCTCTGCTTCCGATCATCGTATGCCTTCCAGCGTCTCAATGTATCCTACATACCCAGAAAGAACAGGCCTGTCGAGAACAGAAATGTTTGATAATATTTTAGATGTATTTTCGCACAGTACTGAATTCACTTTACATTGCACTTGCCTCAAATGTTTTCTTTTTTTTCAGTTCTCAGCGTGTGTTATTCAATGTTTTATGATAAGATACAGTAATGGGTACCAAAACGTCGTGTTAAAAAAAAACAGCTGCTTTTGCATGTGTCTTTGATAGCATTCTTATTCTTATCCATACAGCAAACTGCGTTAGACGGTCACTGCCTGTTACTTTATATTTGAACGTTATTTATCACCTCATAGACCTTAAAAATCCCTTAAGGGCTTGGCCAATTGTTTCGAAGATAAATAGGGCCAGCATAAGCCAGGGTATCAAATCCGCCACCAACATCTTGTAAGCAATTTTCGAAAGAAGAAATTACCGATAGCCCTGCCAGCGGGTGGTTGTAGTTGCACTTGCTATCACTCGCATCCTTCCCAAATACTTTTTACTCTTGTAGAAAACGAATACAGAAGAGGCAGAAGAGGGAAGAGGGATTATCAAAAACTCTCT